TAAATATTCTAATCTAAATAATATAAATATTCTAATCTAAATAATATAAATATTCTAATCTAAATAATATAAATATTCTAAATAATCTGGAAAGGGGCAAAGGCTCTTTTACACCAAAGAAAAGCTGAGGAATGGTGGGATCTGCCCCAGCACCTTGAGCCCAGGAGGTTTCCCAGAGCCTGGTGGTGCTCAGGGGGTGAGCAGGGCAGCCCTGGCAGCCTCGGGCACAGAGAACTCTGCAAAGTGTGTGGAAAAAAAAGGGGAGGCTGAACAGAAACCCCTCGCTCAGCACTTCGGGGCCCTTTGTTTCTCCCTCCCCTCTGCTTTGAGGAGCTCTGAGGACTCCACCAGCTCTGCCAAAGGAGATCCTTCCCCTGCCCAACCCACTCTTCCTCCAGCCCTTATCTGCCCTCACCTGTCTCCACCGGGTCGCTTTAAAAGTCCCAGACGCTTCCTTCCTTTGTTTGCCTTGGCCCCAAAGGGAAACGTCTTGTGTGTCAAAGGTTTGGTGCAGGTTCCTGTCCCAGCTCTTTGCCACCCCCGGCCTCAGCAAATCGAACTTCTTCTCCCAGCTGGGGGTTTGCACGGGGGACTCAGGCTCTCTGCCCCTCCTGCCTCCACCTGGGATCGAGGTGGAGCATCAAAACTGGGGGTTAAATCCCTCCTGGCTCCTGCAAATTGGGGATGGAAAAGAAGTTCTGGGGTTTGAGTGAATTCACCCAGAGACAGAGTCTCTCCGGGGCTGTGCCACTGTCCCAGCTCTCCTTTCTCTGGAGGTAAAATCATCTGGGCTTAGAGACCCAAAGTAGGGCAGAGGGGTTCCAGCCAGAGGCACGGCCTTGGTGAGCTTTGCCTGGGCTGAGCTGAGGACTCTGAGGAAGAATTTCCTCCTGGAAAGGGTGGTCAGGCTCTGAAAGGGGCTCCCCAGGGGGGTTTGGAGTCCCCAGCCCTGGAGGTGTCCAGGGAAGAACTGGATGTGGCACTCAGTGCTCTGGGCTGGGGGACAAGGTGGGCACCGGGCACAGGGTGGGCTCGGTGATCCCGGAGAGCTTTTCCAGGAGAAAAAGCCCTTTCTCCAGGGCCCACAGAGGGGAGCAGGGCAGCTCCTGTCACCCTGGCAGAGTGAGGAGTGTGCTGAGCCCAGGATGTGTCCCACAGAGTCTTCCCTTTCCCTCCCAGCCCCGTGTTTTTCCTGAGGAGCAGAACCAGGGTGAGGAGGAGGAGAACAGGGTGAGGAGGAGAAGGAGGGTGAGGGGCAAAACCAGGGTGAGGAGCAGAACAGGGTGAGGAGGAGAAGGAGGGTGAGGGGCAAAACCAGGGTGAGGAGCAGAACAGGGGGAGGAGGAGGAGAACAGGGTGAGGAGGAGAAGGAGGGTGAGGGGCAAAACCAGGGTGACGAGGAGAACAGGGCGAGGAGGAGAACAGGGTGAGGAGGAGCAGAACCAGGGTGAGGAACAGCACCAGGGCTGAGCAGTTCAGCAGCCCCAGGTGCATCCCCGGGGCGGATTTTGGGGCTCAGGAAGGGCTGGGCCCACCCGCCACAAGCCGAGCACGCGGGCAGCACTTCGGTTGGGAGCACCTTGATGTGAGAGCTGAGCTCCCCCCTCTCCTCCTCCTCCTCCTCCTCCTCCTCGAGGTCGCGGGAGCAGCACCTGCCTGCGGGGGGAGAACCCGGTGCCAGCAGCTGCCAAAACCACAGCCCGGGCGATGCCCCCCCCCCCGCTCTCCCTCGCTGTGCTGCATCAAAAAACAAACCCACCCGGGGCTGTTCTCACCCCAAACTCCCCCGGGGCAAACAGGAAGCCACGAGCACAAAGCGGGGGAAGAGCGAGAGAGCCCGGGGTGAGCCCAGGAACGTGTCCCCCCCCCCCCGGCAACACCTGCAGGGAGAGGGGGTTGGCAGGTAAACACGAGGGTTCACCTGGGCAGGGGATGCCCCTGGCACGGGGATCCGAGGCGGGGGGTTGCCCTCCCCGAGCTCTGTGCCCACGTTAAACGGCGGTTTCAGGTGCAGCTGCCGGAGTTTAACGTTGGAGCCGGGGAGGAAAAGGGGTTGGAGGTGTCGTGGTTTGGACCAGGCTCCACAAAAAGCCCCCTTCCCTTTATTAAAGGAAAGGGAAAAAAGGGGAAAAAAAAAATACCCCAAAGGACCTGATATAAACTGAACTAAAGCAATATATATATATATATATATTTTTATGATTATTTACAGTTACAAACCCACTATATAGGAATGAGAAAAGAGAACCCCGACCCCCCAAAAAAACCAAAAAAAAACCAAATTTCCCCAACCAAAAAAAAACTAACAAAGCAAAATTTTAATGCTTTCCTCAAGAAGACGACAGCCACTCCACCAGATCTCTCCACTCGGATCAGGAACCTTCCCTTCCCTTCCCTTCCCTTCCCTTCCCAAACCTTCCCTTCCCTTCCCAAACCTTCCCTTCCCTTCCCAAACCTTCCCAAACCTTCCCTTCCCACACCTTCCCACATGCATATGTGTTTTCAGAGTATTTCACAGCTCCAAGCTTCTCATTCCCAAAATTCCCAGCCCCGGATCTTCCTGGGTCCTGCCCGTTGGGGACATTTCGTGGCAATCTGGGTCTGGCCCAAAGGCACGGCAGGAGGTTGTGTGATGGCATCCCAACATCCTAGAGCCATTCCTGCACATCTCCCTGCAGGATCCACCCTGGAGAATCCACCCTGGAGACATTCCTGCCCCTGGGGCACTCCCTGCCAAGGGCCCACCCCGGGACAAGGCTTCCAAAAGGGGTTGGGAAATTTTTCTCGTGCCGTTTTCCTGCGAGTTTTGAAGTCAGGCCCTCCCTGTCCCGACATCTCATCCCTCCTCTTCGCAGCTGCTTCTCATTTCTTCTCATTTCCCAGCCGTGGCCTTCCTGTTTTGTTGGATTCGTATTTTTTTTTCAATCATTTTGGGTTTTTTTTGTGTTTTTTTTTTTTTTTGGGGGGGGGCTGCATTCAGCAGCTGCACACGATTCTCCCCCGAGCCCATCACTATGTTTAGCCCTCCAGACAGGCCAAACAAACGAGCAGGGCTGGGGTTAACAATCCCAAAATGGAGCTCAGCTGTCTCTGAACTGTGATTTACTGGGACCGGGGCCAGGCAAGATCCTCCTCAGGAATCGCCCACCGGGGACCGGCCTCTTCAAAAGGGGAGAAATCGTTTAAAATACCTTTTCCTGGCTCAGACTGGGGATGGGAGATGCTTCTGCCGGGGGGTGAGACCTCCAGGGAGGTGCTGGAGGGGCACTGTGGGTGTGGGTGATGCCTCCTCCACCCCTAAACCGGGATTAGGGGCGGGTTTAACCCTGGCTGTGGTGATACCTCCTCCACCCCTGAGCCGGGATTAGGGGCGGGTTTAACCCTCCCGTGCCCCTCCCTGGGGCTGCTGGGGGGGCTCCCCTGCCGGGGCTGGGAGGAGGCCACGGTGCCACAGACGTGGCATTGCCACCTTTCCCCTGGGCACGGGGCACCAGCACCTCAGAAAGGACCCTCAGAGAGGTGAAGGAGCCTCAGAAAGATGCAGGTCCCTCAGGAAGGTGAAGGAACAAACCTGCTCCTCTCCTGCCTCCTGTGGGGAGCTGTGGCTGCAGGCAGCTCTCCCTCTCTGCAGGCAGCTCTCCTTCCCTGCCTGCAGCTCTCCCTCTCTGCAGGCAGCTCTCCATCCCTGCCTGCAGCCCTCCCTCCCTGCCTGCAGCCCTCCCTCCCTGCCTGCAGCTCTCCATCCCTGCCTGCAGCTCTCCCTCCCTGCAGGCAGCTCTCCCTCCCTGCCTGCAGCTCTCCCTCCCTGCCTGCAGCTCTCCCTCCCTGCCTTGGGCATCTCCTGCTGGCCCTGAAGGTCCGCTCGGTGCCCAAGGGCAGCTCTGGCAGTGCCCCTTCGGGCAGGGAGGGGGTCTGGGGTGATGTGAGAGTGGGACTGTGTCACTGGAAGCACGGGCAGGGCCCTTGGAGGCACGGGCAGGGTTGGTGGGATGTGTCTGACCCGGCTCAAGACCCAGCTTTGACTGGAATTGCTGAGCTCCTGAAGGACCTCGTTCAACACTGGGCACCTGCCAAGCTTGTTATCCAAAGGTTTCCCAAATCCCACCCGCCCCCTTGGCACCAAACACCGCCTCAGACCCGCCCCAGCCTCGTTATTCCCGGGAACAGCAGCCCTGGAGTTCCCACAGGATGAACGGGACTCTGCTCGTCCCAGAAATGGTTTGGCTGGGAAGGGACCCCAAAGCTCTTCTGCACATTTTGTTTTTCAGGCACCTGCAGCTCCTCGGACACGTTGGATGCTCAGCATCCAAAAAAACCACATATTTTGGTCGCTCTTTGCTGTGTTTAATCCAAAAGCCTCTGGCCGAGTGAAAAGGGGGGAAAAAAACGGGGAAGAAGACAAAGAATGTTTTTGGGAAAAAAAAAACCACGAGATATAATAAGTGGTAAATCCCCAAGGTATAAAATCAGATCAAATTTTATGGAGTTCCAAATCTGAGTGGCCAAATGGTGACAGTTCCACCCCCTGTCTTGGCTTTCCCAAGGGTCTTTCCAGCCAAAAATTAAGGGAAACACTCCCTCAGAGAGCCGGGAGGCCCAAAATCCTCCTCTGGCTTATCCAGCCCTTGGCCTGTCCCGCAGGGAAATGCCCAGTTTGCCTCTGCCCTCGGGTGTCTCCGATGGAGATTTGGGACAGATCCACCTCCCACAACTCCAGGAACCTCCTGAGATCCACCCCCAAACCCCCTCCCAGAGCCTGAGCTGCCACAGGACAGAACCCTTTGGGTTCTCTGGTTGGTACAACAGGAGCTTTCCTGGTCCCTTCACCTTTGGAACACAAAGATTTTTTTTTTTTAATCTCTCCCTCCTGGGAGGCTTTGGGTCTGTCCTCCTAATTAGCCAGGGTTGCCTCACTTCCTCAGACATGGAAATGTCTCTTTGTTGAGCAGGGCAGGGGCTCTTTTCTCCCCCTGCCCTTTGAACGGCTCCACTTTTGGCGATTCCTGCCCGTTCCTGCCCGTCCTTCCACCTCACGTGCAAATAATCCAAATAATCCCAACATCCAAGTAGGGAAAAGTTTGTGGCTCCTCATCCAGACCCGGCTCAGCCCCTGGAGCAGGAGAGTGACCCCGTCCCGGGCACTCAGCTCCTCCTGCCTGGTTGCCAAGCTCCCTCCTGGGCACACCAGCTCAGGCTCTGGGAGGGGGTTTGGGGGTGGATCTCAGGAGGTTCCTGGAGATGTGGGAGGTGGATCTGTCCCAAATCTCCATCGGAGACACCCGAGGGCAGAGGCAAACTGGGCATTTCCCTGCGGGACAGCCCAAGGGCTGGATAAGCCAGAGGAGGATTTTGGGCCTCCCGGCTCTCTGAGGGAGCTTTTCCCTCTTCCAGTTGTTGGCTGGAAGGACCCTTGGGAAAGCCGAGGCAGGGGGTGGAACTGTCACCATTTTCCATCGCCTTTCCCCTCGGGATCTTTCCCCAGGATCTTTATTTCCCCCCCTTTTTTTTTCCCTGTTTCAGGATATCAGGTTCTCTTCTCTGAGAACAGAGGCAGAAAAATCCCAAGAACAGGGTGTTTGTGGGTTTTTTTAACCCTGTGGGGACTTCTCCAGGAACTGGCATCACG